TTTAGAGGAGAGTAACCAATGTATAGAAAAGGAATGGTATGTTTAAGGCTCATTGCAGAAAGGATATCACTGATGGTAAGGTAAAGATAAGAAAGAGAGACATATCTGAATTTTTCTTGAGCAGCAAAACTTGACTTGGCAAATTATAATTTATTGTAAGATCCTAAAAATATTATTTCAAAAACTGTGTTACACATTTATCTTTCATGTTAGGATTTTTTTTTTCCTTTATCTTTATAAAAAAAAACCCTTAGGATGTGATTTAGGAATGGTCTTTGGTGTTTTTCTATGCTGAGTTTTCTTCTCCAGAACTCTGTCTTCCCAAGTTTTCCACTACAAGCAGAAAACTCTTTCACTTCAAACTACCTGTTTTGCTTGGATCTGATAAACCTAGAAACTGTGGCTATAGTTGCAATATCCAGGCTGGTAATTGCTCAGGGAAATGAGTCCTCCAGGGTGTTCGCCTCTGGGCTCAACAAGTCACTATTGCCAACAGCAGTAGCAGATTCAAAATTGTGAACTCCTTGGGGAGTGGGTTGCATCCATGATAAACACCGTGGATGAGCAAAAGGTAAATTATTATTGCTATCTAACTGGTATGCTTCAGCCCTTTATTTTCCAAAACAAAAGGATCAGCTAGAGGAACACAGTAAGAGATAACTTGTGTATCTGTGCTAACGCTTTGTTTTATTCATTTCTATGGATTTACTTTTCAGGGGTTAATTTTATGTTTTATTGCAGGTGATGTTAGAAAACATAATGATTTCATCTATGTAATTATAATATGTTAATGGCCGGACAGGTTTCTATTATAGGAGTGATTCTCTCATTGACAGCTTATATTGTTTGTTTAATGTACAGGTATTGTTGCATTTGTAGTTCATCCATTATCTCCTTTCTACCCTAATCTCTTACTTTTATGGACTATAGACAACATAGTATCTAGACATGCTATCAGAATGGCACAAAGCATTAAAATATTGAAATTTTAATGATTTTTTAGAAATTTTCTACTGATAGGAATAGTTAGGACTTTATTTTTTCTTTCTCTTCTCTATCTTTCTTCTTTCTTTTTCTTCCATTTTTTCTTTCTTTGACCAACTTTTCTCAATAAAAATTTTCATAGTTAGAAGTATGCAGAAAGGCAGTTTTGTACCAGACCCTCCGACCAGACTTAAATTTCAGTCACCTTCGGGAGGGCACACACCAGAGTTAAGAATAAAATGCCCCCAATTTTACCTTCATCCCAGATCTTGATAGTGTCGGTATGGGTTATTGTATGATAACATTCATGTCGTTGAGGAGACTCGTTGCCTTTTAGTGCTGAAGAGGCATACATTAGCCTGGATCTTGTCAGAAGGAACTTAGGAAAAGAGTATAATCTTGCCCTGTTCCTATTGTTTTCCAGAAGCATTCAGAGTTGGTGTCCTGGTTTCAGCTGAGACAGAGTTAGCTCTTCTTTTTAGCAGCTAGAAGAGCTCCGTGTTTTGGTTTTAGTCTGAGACTTGCTCTGAGAAGAACGCTGATAGCGCACCGATGTTTGTAGTTGTCACTAAGGTCTCAAGGTCTTTTCAGCTTGCCATGTTCTTGCCAGTGTGTAGGAGCACAGCAGGATAGAGAGGAGCATAGCCAGGATGGGGGATCCACGACTCCCCTTATGATTTGTACTTAGAGTTAGGATTGAGGGCCAAATTGGCCAATTAGTATTCCATATCATGCAGCGTCATGCCCAGTATAAAAGTGAGGGACAGCCGGAAAGAAGGGCCTTTGCTCTTCTGGGACTCTCGCTTTCGGACTCTCAGAGTACTCTCGCTGTCTCACTCTCTATTTTCGGGCCTCTCGCTCGTCCGGGATTGCAGTATCAGGATTTATCTGTTTCGGGATCATTAGTTTGGGACAAGATGGGCCTCGGTCAAGGGGTGGTGAGCAATTACACCATACATCACTTGTTTGTATATATATTATCCTTGTACATATCTGTACATATATATATATTGGTAGCAGTAGTAGTAAATTGTTCTTATCTCAACCCACGGGTCTCTTTTCCTTTTCTCCTTTAATTCCCTTCCTCATCCCCAGGGGGTGGGGGAGAGTGAGCGAGCGGCTGTGTGGAGTTTAGTTGCCAGAGCAGCCCAAACCACAATAGTTGGCCACAGGACACTGAACTTGATGTGTCTCCAGTCTGGTCCTGCTTTACACTTTTACGAATCCAGTGTAAACAACGTGGTAATAGAGAGCACAGAGCACGTTTGTGATGTGCTGCTTACTCTAAAGCAGATGCTCTCAGGGTCCCATCAAGCATTTCTATACATGATCTTTCACTGATTGAGTTAGAAATCCCATTCCTAAAGTGGCAGATTCTGGACTGCTAACTTTCTTCTTGATAGGAAGAGTAAAATGCACTCTCTTTTGCTGCCTGATGTAGAAAAAGGCGACCTTTGTTACTCTTACTTAATTTTTACTGTAATTGCCAAGCAACTGAGCTTCACACTAGCACCAGCAATTGAGAAGCAGATTCCTGCAATAGACAGTAAGGCAACGTTCCTATAAAAAATCTGAGCTTTTTCTTCCTTAGATACTTCTTGTTTTTTTTTTTCGATGAATGGTCACAAAAAAAAAAATATTGCTGCACAGGAAGCACCCTGAGATGAGTCTGAAGGACAAACTTCTTCCCGCCCACTTAGGAGGTTTCCCAAAAGGGTCCTGAAATCTCCAACTGCAAGAGCAGGTGAACTTTCTAAGCAGGCTCTTGCCAGACTGACAGAGAAAGTGCTGTTGTCTTCAGACTTTCTTCAGAATCATCAAGGACAATATAGATATAGCTGTTAGAGAGACACACGTACTGTGCAGCCTTTTATGACTCTTTGTTATAGGACACGGTGGACCAAATTCAGACCTGGTAGAAGGAAATGTGACTCTCCTAAAGGTAATGGAGTTTCACCATGTTTTATTGTCCCTGGATATGGTGAACCACTATCCCAGCATACTAAATCTATAGGAATTTATTACCTCCTTATAGCCTCTTTAAGATCTTCTTTTTCAGCTGATGCTGGATATTTTTCTGGCTATTTCATTTCTGTGTCTTTATCAGTGAGCTCTTAACACACTATTTAACATTTAATGTCATCTGATCCCCAGCTCAAGTATGTTTAAGTGAATGTATTTTGATTTTATGCCTGCTAATTTTGCTCAGTAACAACGGTTATCTTTATTCCCATAACTCGGGGTCACTGACTTAGACAAGCAGTTTCACGCTCTTTCTGCCATCCTGATGGATCTCTAGGGACCCTCACAACAGCCTTCCTATTTCAGCAACAACTCCCTTTCTCATTTACCCAGGATTCTCAGACCAGTCTGTTGACTTTCAGTGTAATGATGGCTTCAGAGCTCCAAACCAATTCTCATCTACTGTATTGCTTAGGTGTGCCGTGGCTGAAGCGAGCCAGTCTGAGTAACAGAATACATGGTGCTTGGATCTGTTAGATCTCCCTGTCTCCCCTCCCAAGACATTTCTGTTTTGATGACAAAGCTGGAGCACTTTTGTAGCCACTCAAGATATCTATCTAATTCAAGAAGAAACAAAGAGAAGATGATCTTGCACTTTGAAGATGCAGGGTAGAAATGGTAATTTAAATTGAAGAATCCTATAATACTTGAAACTGATTTAAAGCTCCACTGTGTGGTAAGATCAGATCTCAGTTGACACATCAGCAATTGACAATCCCATTAGTGTAAAAAAAAAAAACAAGAAAAAATGGAAAAAGAGTTAAAAACACTTGGTACTGATGGAAAAAACAAATTGACAGTGGAAAAAGAAAGCAAATATTTTATGGTTTTACATCATAACTTACAAATACTTGCATGTAAATAAAGAACAACAGTCAAAATGTGTGATGTTTTTCTTTGAGAAAAAAGTTGTTTTTCTTTTCAGACCATAACCATATTTCTACTGTGATGTCTGACCCATCGATATTTAATTCTCTTTATGCAGCTCTGGTTAAGAAGGAAGAATACTTGCTTGGATCCTCAGAGCAGCAAGCTGGTATATGGCTTTAAGTAGAAAGTTTAAAATAAAAAATCTTTTTTGGCTCAAGTCAACTGGCTCAGTCAGAACTTACTAACCTCCTAAATCAGGAGTTTCCAGAAACATTAGAAGCCTTCTGAGACTGTCTGACATAATCCTTTTCCCTCCCTTCTCGACTACATATTGCCTGCAAAGGGCATATGGAAATGAAGAAAGGGACTCCAAAGCATCACATGGAAGTATTGGCCACCAGGCATCACGTGAAGACTTCATATCTGGGTCTTCTTGGAAACGAAAGATTTGAACCTAAATTATTTCCTGGCTAAAATTCTACTGACTTCACAGGAAGACTTTGAACTTGAGGAGACGTTTAAATTTCACCATGATTCTGACACAGAGAAAGAAAATGTTTCGGTGATATGGTTGATCTCTGCTGAGAATTAATAACCTTCTCTGACTCACATGAGGAAGTTTTAGGAAATTCAAGCATGTGGAGTGTATCCAGAATGTTACGTTTTTGATCTCAGAAACCGCTAATCAAAGTTAAAATTGTATAATTTCACTATGTCTGACTCATTCTTCACCTGCAGGGAGAAATGTTAAGATAGTATTCAAAGCAAATCTTCATTGTGTAAAATCCTACATCTCATTCTTTAAAGGTGATTCGATGTTTAATGCTTGACTTTCATTTTTAATGTAGTAATTCTGTTATCTTGAACACTGTGACTTGTTCAAGGAATTCAGCCAAAAACCTCTGGAACCTGTTTTGAATGTAGTTGAGGAACAGAGGTACTTTGCTAACAAGCAGCATTTGAGATGCTTAAACTTTCCTTTGGACTTGTTCTTTACTATGATGCAATTAGATTGCACAGATTATCATTCGGGGAAAAAAACAAGTGAAGAGTCCCAGAGATCAGTCATCTTGAGAACTGAACGTGTTGAGCAAGGAGTTCATTTGAACTGATTTTGTTTTTCAGACACTGCAAATGGATGTAAACAAGCTGAATATCACATTGCTTCAGTTATTTCGCCAAGGAGTGGCAGCAGCACTGGGACTGTTACCTCAGCAAGTTCATATCAACAGACTCATTGTAAGTACCAAAGGGCTGTGTATAATAAAATGTACCTGGTTATTTTGAATTGTCTTAAATTTCTTTTCCTGTCATTATGAAAAAGTAAAATAAAATAGGACAGAAAAATACTTTTTTTCCTTTTTTTTTAAACTGCACTACAGAAAAATAGATCTCCATTACAAAATGATTTAAATTTTCTTTTGAAAGCAAACTATTCTCAGTTACAGTCTAAAGAAAAATTAAGTCAGCTAAATCTCTTTTGAATCCTATTCATAAGTGGATTGCTTATCCCTTAGTTTTCATTCCAATTCAGTTCTATATCACATTAAGAGACTCTTATTCGTGTTTTGTTTCTCAAAGGTTGAATTGCTCAAAAAATACATGTGATTCTGCCTTTCGAAGTCATCTTCACAATTTATTCTCAGATTTTCCATTAGTAAATTAAATGTCTTCTCACAATATTAATATTCATGTTTGCTATTCAGCTATAACAATCTATGCTCAGAAATTATCTTGTAGACTATGGTATCATATTTGCAAAAGATGATGACAAATTTGCTTCCAGCAACAAAGACTTTTTAAAAGCAATTGTATGCTTTTCTGTGTGTGGTTAAAAGCACACATTCTTAACACTGTGGTCTTTTTATGGCAGTTTTGCCATGAAACAAAAAAATCCACAACATCCTGTGTATACTGCTAGCATTCAAGTCACGTTGCACAGGGAAGAAGAGTTATTTTATTTTATTTTGCATGCAGGTTGAATATTAGGGAAGAAAACTGACAGGTTCAGCATAAAAGTATTTCCTGCCTTGATAGCTTGATAGGATTGTATACATCAAAAAGGATTATAAAACTCCTTCAAATAGCATCTCTGTGAGAAAGCATCACACAAGTACAGCGGAAAAGATCAATAGGAATGCAATGCAGCCCTTTTCATGTTCGCCAGGGGTGTCACTCATTCATGACAAGTGATGCTAAATCTCCTTTGTCCCCTGCATTAACCAGCATGAAAGGCTGAAAGACATATTCAGAGAAAAGCACAATTGAATGAGAAATGTTCCATAGTTTGGAATGTGTTTTTCAACATGCTAAGTCATTTAGTAACTTTCTCACTATGCTCTGTGGAAATTGTATAACCAAGGAGAAGAAATACGTGGTTTATTTTCCTACTGGCTCCATAGCTTTTCCCTTTCTCCTCTCATTTGTGATCTAAGGGAAGATATAATGTCATTTTACACCTTCATATAGCTCATAATACAGTAAGTACTATTAATTAATTAGTCTTCTCAACATCTGTAAAAGTCTGCCATGAGTTAATCTTTTAATGATATAAGAAAGAGCACAAAATTGTACTCTAGCTGCTCTAAAAATCACTCACAGAAAGTCAAAATTCACAAGGAACAAAGATACATCTTAGGAGACATTATTCCCACTTCTGTACTTCTAGCATGAGATAGTTCCTCTCATGCAGAGTGCTGGCAAGCAAGCAGGGCACATCATAATTGGTCTCACCTCACTTCAGCCTAGTCTAAGCCACTCATCTAGGTTCCCTGTAAAGCAACACAGAGAAGGGTAACTGGAGGAGGAGAGGCATTGAGATCCCGATTATTTTAGGATGGCTCAAATCATTCTCTGGAGATGCCAGTCTCTCTCCACTGACTTTGGATGTAGTTTAGATGACAGATGTGAGGTAAGCTGACTCCCTCCCAAGTTAGCAGCTCTCAGAAGTGATCAGAAGCCTGGCATTTGGACACAGGGAGAGCAGAGGACCTGCCAGCCTCTTACATATAACAACACATAGTGTGCCAGGAATTATTAACTGGGCATTTCCAGTGTCTCCTTAACCTTTCCAGTAAAACCTCTTCCCATAAAGGCCTTATAAAGGGCAGAGACACTCCTAAACAGAAGAGGCATAAAACACTGGGAATCCCCCCCCGCCAAGCCTTGCCTTGTGCCTGCTGCCTACACCCAGAACCAGTCCCCTACCCGTGTCAAAGACTGAGTAGCCTTGAATCAGCTTCTTCAGCTTGACAAAAGTCTCTGCCTTGAACTGACACTCCAGATCTGTAGGTCTGTTTTCACTCCTTATCACCCTGCTGATCTGAACATTCCCACTGAAAACTGCCCAGTCCCAGCAGTAGCCAATATCCTTACCAATCTTATCTAGCAGATGGACCCAGTAGCACATGTGAGAGCCCAGCGGGCAGACTTAGGGTAAACACGTTTCGAAGAGTCCCTTTCTGTGCAGCTCTACTTCTGAATGCAAAACTAGGTATTTTAACAATAGCAAAAGATATCTTTTTCTTCATTTCGGTAAAGGTAATGATGCACATGCAAGGTCGGGGGAAGGAGACAGGGGGAAATCAAGATTATCCCAGTTTGAACTGATCTCTCCCATCCCATAAGGGACTAGCAAATAACCAGACTAGTGAGATTCTTGCCTGCGCAGGCAGCAATGCAGGTAGTAGCTCCATGCTTACCTTGCATGTGTGGCACACCCCAGATCTGGACTCTACATCATGGCCTCAGCTAAACTGGCCATAGCCCCGGAGAACCTGGGTTCCCGCACACTGTGTGGACATCAGCACTGTCTGGAGTGATGGTCTCAGGTGCTGTTCTAGTCTGTCATGACCAGGGGAACTCTCTGGCAGGCCCTCCTCTTGTACCCTTGCGACAGAGTGTGCATTGTTGATGTCTCTAGTACAGCACCCCTTGGGCTACCAGGACTGCATGAAAGACACCAAAGCAGGAATTAATAGAGGGGAGAGTAGGCATTCTCAGCTTACCCATTGAATGTAAAAAACACTTTTCCAGTCCTTTCATTTTGTTGAGTCATTTTAAGGAGTTACACTGCAGGCAACTGAAAGGACTTTATACTTCACTGTGGTGTGTGTCTGCACTGTGTTGACACAGGATTGGAAAGCCGTGCCAAAATACCATGGCATTATACTAAGCATTCCTGTTGAAGGACCACCTTCTAAAGCAGGGCTGCATTTTCAGCTCAGATCAGATGAACTACCTGCTAAAATCTCTGCTGGCACTTTGCCCTTGACCCCATCCCATGGCTCTTCCCCTCACCATGTTACATTGACCTGTTTGGTTTAGTGGTACTAGGCTCAGGAAGAGGGTACCTTGTCAACAGTGAATGAGACAAAGCACACGTGCCCACATATGGTATTTGCATTTTCTTGCACAGTCAGATGGGATTTAAGGAGTCGGGAAACAGGTATATTCTCCTCACGCAGCAGGTTGCAGCCCTTATATTCCATGCTTCTGTTTTTGGAATTATAGTTAAAATCTATAGGCAGCAGAGATTATCTTATCTTAGATTGTCCCAGTGATTCTGCATTTTTTTTATTTTCCTAGGGGAAGAAGAACTGTGTGGAACTGTTTGTGTCCCCACTGAACAGAAAGCACGGAATTTCTGAGGCACTCCCATCTGAAGAAGTGCTGCGTTCCCTTAATATCAACATTTTGCATCAGAGTTTATCCCAGTTTGGAATAACAGAGGTCTCTCCTGAGGTTGGTTATCAATTTTCTAACCTGTAGTTTGTTACAGGTTAGGCAGTTATTACATCCCTGGTAGTTTTCTGGCTGAGATTCTCAAGCATAAGGCAGGAAATGTATAAGCTAAGATGGCATTACTGCTCTAAGGCAATTATACAGCCAGCCTTGTTTAGTTATTTTAATAGTGCTTCATTAGGCCGTTTAAGCATTAGTGTCCAGGTCCTCCTCACACAGCTGGGCTACCACTGAAATCAGACTTTAGATCCTAAGCATGCATTAACTGCCATAAAGGAAGCGGGCCCAAGGACTTTTGATCTACTAATGCAGGTCAGCAAGTGTAACGATTTCCATAGAGAGAGAATGAAACGCAGATGACGTGTCTGAGCATTACTACCTGTGTAACTTGTGTCCGACATGATTTAGAAAAACTGAATTTGTATGTTGTACCCATGCTTCTTTCTATTCTCAGGAGAAGTGAGACTTTCATTTTGTTTACCTGCTTCAAAAGAAGGACAAGAATAAAATTTGTATGATTACCTCCGTTTTTTGGAAGAAAAAAATCTGTTTCAAAGCAGAGACACTGCCATCTCCACAGTGTCCCAGACATTACCAGTGAGATGGACATCTAATTCTGGACTGACCACTTGAGCTATGCACAGCAAATGAAAAAAAGCAAAGGCCTTTAGGAAAGGAAATCACTGAGCTCATGGACATGGTCACATCACATTGCATTTTATTTAGTGTCTTAGAAACCCTTACCTATATATAAAGACCCTCAGAATTCAGTGTGAGGTCCAAATAACTTCAAACATGTTATCAAGAATCAGCATTTTCCGTTGAAGCTCCCTTTTTGAAAGAGGAGATGTCTACGTCCAAAAAAGTGGAAAAAAAAAGAGAGATTCTGATGAGCTGTGGGTAAAGAGTTCCTGGTTTTTTACATCCAAATCTGTGTTTGAGCCATTGCTGAGTTAGTACTGGCTGTTGTGTTCACCTATATTTCTTCTGATTAGGAATGCTTTTGCTCATTTTAGGTATTCTAACTCTGTACAAAAAATGAAATGTAAAAACGAGGCCAGTTTAACGAAATTTTACATGCTTTACTACAGCAGCCTGCCACTATGAAAATGAGCAGATTCTCAGGTTTTACCTGTTCTAATACAAAATGAAGCCAAGCAGTGCTGCGCAAAGGTCAAATCAGGTCTTTATATCGCCTGTCAGTGACCTGGGCTAAACTTGCTTTAGGTCAGAATTTCCTTTGTTACTGAAGTGTATGAGACTGACGGTTGTGATAGATGCAATTATCTGTTCCAACTGCTTCAGTTACAAATAACACTTCAGGCAGACATGGCACAAGAACATATATGAATTATAGATGAATGGAGAAATGGCATCGAGCTATGAAGAGATGCTGGAAAAAAACAAAGTGCTGAATTCAAGATCTCATCTATGTTAGATACATTTCAATAATCTGGAATGCTCAGATATTTGAATTTTCTCACTGGGAAGCAAACGTAGGCAACCAGACAGAATCATTTAGAAAAGAATTATTAGAATGAAAGTTGTACAGACTCTAACTCCTTCTAATTCATTGGAGAAACAAGAGATTGTTTTAATATTTCAGTTGCTAGCCAATTATCCAGCTAAGGCCCAGATCCTGAAAAAATCTTGCAGCTTTACACCAATAGATAGTCCTTCTGGATCTCGATAAATTGTTTACATGTGTAAGACTTCACAGAAAACAGCAACTAATAGACAACAACATATAATCTTGCTCAACTACTAACCAGTTATTTACTCTTCTCTCAACTTGCTATAAGAACAAATAGTGCCAAACAAAATAACAGCAAAGAAAATCAAAACAGGCAAACCTCTGAAGGAAGATACAAAGCTTTACATAGCTTTGACACATTATTTTACCCATTTTGTGTGTTTATTCCTGAACTATCCATCCTAATTAATTCATGAGCTAATAAATTGTACACTGTTCCACTAAAAAGTCTGAACACTTCACAACCAGTATTGTATGTGCATTCACAGTGTATGTCTGCAGAAAGGAAGCATTATCCTCATCTTTCTAGGTGGGGGGCTGACACAGAGGTGTTAGGGCTGGAATTTGTCTCCTTTTTTAGCTGCCTATTTCAGAATTAGCTGCCTAAGGGTTGAAAGTCTGCCAGCTCTCTCTACAGTAAACAGAAAGACAGAATTACCTCCAGCGGGCAGTTCATCCCATCTCTGAGATACCTTTCCTGAGATTGTTTAGTTGACTCTTTCTAACAGGGCTTAGCTTAAACTAGACCTCCAGTTGCAGAGGGTTAATGGTAGGGAAGGTTACCCTATCCTAAGAAACTTTACCAAGGTTAGGGAAATCCAAGTGGAAAACTGAAGCTCTCTGCTTAAAGTCTCAGCATATGCGATACCATGAACAGCAAAAGTCCCAGTGGATGTAGGTGACTGGAACTGTGTTTCCATTCATTCTAGTAATAGTTTTCCAATTCACATCTGCTGATGCATTAATCACTGGTTGATATATTTTCAATTGAATTGCCTGTCTCAAAATTCATATCCTAGTTTTTTATTCAGCAGTAGCTGAAAGAGCAGATTCCCTATATGTCTTTGCTGTAGGAGCCACTAGAGTCCTTTGCTGCCTGGTGTAGAATGGATTGTGTACCTATGGGAATGTGAAAATTTAATTTGATGGAGTCGTTGCCCTTTCAGGCATCCTGGGAAATGGCAATACTTTCCATATGTCCTCTCTCTTCCAATGACCTACTGTAGTTGTAGCATTTGCTCTTTTATTATGGTCTAAAGTTTGTCTCAAGTGAGATTTAGGATAGTGTTCTGCTCCATGGTGTGTAGCAGGGCCATGAGCAGACTTCCCCAGAACAAATTACCAAATTGTTTCTTTTTGGTGGGTCTAAATTCAGTGACTCAGATAGTCCATGTTATTATGGTGTGGGAATTTTGACTTCCTAATGTCTTTAAATTGTGCTCAGGGGAAAAAGAAAATACTATTGGATTTCAGAGCTTAGTAGAGTAGAAGAGAACTTGAAGTGGTTTTCAATTACAAGAGTAACTGAAGTTGCACTAAGTAAAATAAGGGTTACTGTCTTTTGAGAGATAAGCTAACTGCCTGCTTGGAGATGTGGCACGAAAAGAGAATTTTCCAGAGTTCATGCCAAAATTATGCAATCTGAAAATGTATCATTACAGCTTTCTTGCACAAGGCTTCTGTTGGTTGCCTTTGAAGTGTGTGGTATTAACTTCTTAGAGAAGAAATCAAAGGAACCAATCATGCACTTAAAGCATACAGAAAACGTAAGTCATTGTAAGGACAAGCGATCAAAACCAATAGCTTAGAAATTACAACAGCCTAGGCCGACAAAGGCACCTGGGAACAAAGCAGAGCTCAAGGACGTGCTCCCGTGATCAAGCAAGGCAGACGTGGCATTACACCTGCATGGATGCAAGCAGAGCACTGCAACAGGGACAGGAGCCCTGCAGGCTTCCAGCTTTGACCTGAAATCACAACGCTTTATTGCACACACGTGTAGGGTAGAGTCTTTGGGAAAGCTTTGTCGTGAGAGATGTTAAGTGGCTATTATCCAGTGTCCTGGGAGTCTGAGTGGTCACCCATGTTCCTGCATGTTTTCACTGAGGCTGGAAGTGATTTCTTGGCAGACTTTCCTAACCTGCCTCAGCTAACATAGTTAAAATAGCAGAAAAAGCAAAGCAAGTCAGTGAAAACTTCAATGAAATCTTTTTGAGCTTAAGTTCAGTTCCCAGCTCCCTGTAAGCTTTGCTCTGAGCTCAGAACTACAGGTTGCCATGCTTTCATTAGTGTTTCAGCCCAAGGAACTAACTGGGATTAACTGACCCAATTTGCAATTTCACCTGTTTTCCAGTGAAAATCTACGTTTTCTGGCAGCTCCTGTTACCTTGACAGGATCTTTCAGTCACAGATTTTACAGTGACTACTTCAGGTTGATGTCTCTCTTGCTGTTATCAAAAGCTGGCTGCTCATTTTATTTGTTTGTAGAAATAATCCACTAGCTTTCCAGAAACATAGAATCATAGAATCAGAGAATAGTTTGATTTGGAGGAGACCTTTAAAGGTAATCTAGTCCAGCCACCCTGCAGTAGACAGGGACATCTTCAACTAGATCAGGTTTTTCAGAGCCCCGTCCAACCTGACCTTGAATGTTTCCAGGGATGGGGCATCTGCCACCTCTCTGGGCAATCTGTTCCAGTGTCTCACCACCCTCATCGTAAAAAAATTCTTACTTATGTCTAATCTAAAGCTACCCGCTTTTAGTTTAAAATCATTACCACTTGTCCTATTGCAACAGGCTCTGTTGAAATGTTTGTCCTCATCTTTCATGTAGTCCCCCTTTAAGTACTGGAAGGCTGCTAGAAGGTCTCCCTGAAGTCTTCTCTTCTCCAGGCTGAACAACCCCAACTCTCTCAGCCTATCTTCGTATGAGAGATGCTCCAGCCCTCGGATCATCTTTGTGGCCCTTCTATGGACCCACTCCAACAGCTCCATGTCCTTCTATGTTGGAGGCCGTAGTGCTGAAAGCAGTACTGCAGGTGGGGTCTCACGAGAGCAGAGTAGAGGGGCAGAATCTCACTTGACCTGCTGGCTACACTTCTTTGGATGCAGCCCAGGATACGGTTGGCTTTCTGGGCTGCAAGTGCACATTGCCAGCTCATATCAACCTTTCATCTACCGGTACCCTCAAGTCCTTCCCCCAGGGCTGGTCTCAATCCCCTCATCCCCCAACCTGTATTGACATTGGGGATTGCCCCGACCAATGTGCAGGACCTTGCACTTAACCTTCTTGAACCTCATGAGGTTCATACGGGCCCGCTTCTTGAGCTTTTCCAGGTCCCTCTGGATGTCATCCCTTCCCTCAGGCAAGTCAACTGCACCACTCAGCTTGAAGCTTTTGGCAAACTTGCTGAGGATGCACTCGATCCCACTATGTCATTGATGAAGATATTAAACAGTACCTGGTCCTAATATAGACCCTTGAGGGACACCACTTGTCACCGATCTCCATCTGGACATTGAGCCATTGACCACTACCCTCTGTATGCGACAATCCAACCAATTCCTCGTCCACCAAACAGTCTACCCATCAAATCCATAACTAGAGAGAAGGATGTTGTGGGGGACAGTGTCAAAGGCCTTACAGAAGCCCAGACAGACAACATCCATAGTTTTTCCCTTATCCACTGGTGTAGTCACTCCGTCATAGAAGGCCACTAGGTTGATCAGGCAGGATTTACCCTAAGTGAAGCCAATAAGACCTATAGGCCAGAGTAGATTTTTAATGTCTTTTTTTTTAAAAAAAAAGTTCATAAAAAAATCATTTTTCTAAACACATTTGTTCCAATTCGGAGCAAAGCAGATACCTGTGCAGGCACTCTTCAGTAAGGTTAGCAAAAACATGGGCTTGTTTAAAATGCATTGATTTTTCCCTATTTTGAATTATGTTGAATTTAAAGCATTTAAATTAACCCAGCTAATTCTGCCTGGATGATTCACCTTATTGCAGAGACTCCTTAGGGAATGGAGTAAAACACTGGGGGATGATGTACATGATGATGAGCCTTCCTCCCAGTTTGCTCTGGAACCTGATGGTGTCTAAACTGCTGAAACTCCTTTGCTCTGGTATTCCCCTGCCTTTATCGGCTGTGGCTTTTTGTATATTAGTTTATCTTCCTGCCCTCTGATGGTAGTGGTACATTCCTACTCCTCAAAAAACTATCTAAAAGTCTTACTGAATTCTCGGGCAGGAAAAGGCTTCCAACTGATTGAGAGAAATGTACAGTAACATCAGTCAATGGAGACACAGCACATCTCTGTGTGGGAGGCTCATTGCCCATAGTCATGGAGAGAAATCCTCTCTTTTTTTGCGTTTTCCACAGCATTTGACCATCCTGTGAGCTTATATTTCCTGGGCATCAACAATTTGTAGGGAGCATGGCAGTTGCCGTCCCTCTTATCAGTTCTCCCTGACCAAGGAACAAAGTTCTGAATAAGCAGCACTGACATTTCGGAAAGAAATTCCTTATTGTGGGTGTGAAATGACTCAGTTACTGTAGGTCACAGCCTCTTCTGTCATTAGGGAGCAGGTTAAGCAATAACTCTGCTGTCCTGCATACTGCTCAGTTAGATTTGGGGGAGATATTTCCTTGGTTAGGTGAAGGTACTACTTCAGTGTTTCAAAATGATGTGTGAGATGTTAAAGTTGTGGTATATATATTTTTTTAATCCTTTTTACATTATTTGTTAATATTCTTTGAACTTTATTTTTTGAAAGACAAATCAGGGAAAAATGTATCCCAACCACATGTACCATTAGAGAGAGACATCATACAGATTAATTATATTAGATTCAGTTATGTATACAAAATCTATTACAAAATATTTTAAAAAGTTTTGTGGCACTAATGAATTACAGTTAATTAAAGTCTCTCATCCATTGACTCAAAAAGTCCTATTAGCTCTTCTTTTACTTTATAGTGTATTTGTCCTTTCAGTGAAGAGGTACAAAAACCCCCATTTACTCACTCAAAAAAAAGTCAGTATGGCCAATTCTCCTTCAACTCCTGCTTTTTGTCTAGATTTCCTCCTGAGAGATCTGAAATACCACAAAGCCGTCAGGTAACCTGACCAGGGTCAAACACTTAGTTTGTAGTTTATAGCTGCTGCTGTCGCTGTGGGATTCCCATGGAGCTCAACAGGAGCAGTCCCGAGTGTGGAGCAGCTGCGATTTTGGGCTCTGAGCCAGTATTGGGACCCGAGTCCTGTGCTGTGAGCACAGCAGAATAACCTTGCTGTGCTGAGGTAGCAGATTGCACGGAGAGCTGCACCTCGTTGGAGTGGTGACGCTGTTTGAATATGTCTAGGAACCATTTCTGCAGAAACACTTGGCAAGATTTCCAGCTTATCTTTGAAAGCCCTGGTTTTAAATTGCTCACTAAACACAAGAATGACACTTATAAACCGTGTTAAACTGTCAATACCTGCAATACTTTTAAGCCCAGATCATGAAAGAGTGCATGATTACACACACACACACAAATACACTAATTTTACAAGGTCTGTTTCTGTAGTTTAGCAGAACAGGGTAAAGGATTTCCATTCTGGTCCCTAGGGCTATGACTTTCAAAGAAAACTCTTCTTTATTATACTTTCCGTTCTAAAGCGGTCAACCCCAGGTTATATACATGCATTTTTTTTTCCACAAGCAAGTCTCTGTAAATTAACCATGCTGCCAAATACTACTCTAAATGCTTGCATTTTGTGGCAGTATGGTCTGTGAATTGTCTTGCATCTGCATTGACTTTAATCTCCATTGTCCTGGCCCTTTCCAAAGCAAGCAGGGCACAAACCTGTGCCGAAAGGAGGACCATGAAAACTCTAGTGGGATCCAGCATGCAGCAGGTTTTTGTCAGCTTGTCCTCTCTTTCCCAGGGCATGATCTCCTCCTCCTCAGCAAGCCTTGCCACATCAATTCAACTTCATCAGGACTTTCTACATTTGGGAGGCTGGTGGACGCAAGGAGTTTGCTTGATATAGTAATTTTTCAAAAGAGCAGACTGATCAGTGACTAAGCAGATTTTGGAGCATGAAGTACCCATGTAAAGTGCTAGAGGGTCCCTGCAGTTGCACAGGTCCAGTGAGCAGCCACCCATCTTTAAACGGAGGAAATCTCCTCTGTGGAAAATTCCTAGACCTCCTACACAATGTCCTCAGAGAGGAAAAAAGGCCACCTTGAGATGGGAAGACAACTCACTAGTTAAATGAGATGTTTAATTAAAGCCATTAGAGAATTTCAGCGAAAGGGAAACACCAAGACCTTGAATGCTTGCAGTGAAAACCAGAATTTAATAAAGTAGTTTTCACTCAGGCTGAGAACCTTACTGAAAATACACAGTTGCTAAAAGAAAAGCAAGTAGCTGAAAATTGGGAGAGCAGTGTCTACTCAACTGCTGTCGTGGAAACACAAGGTGGACATACTTCATTCTAAATAATGTGTTACAGTTACACCGAGGGTACATGTAGCCTGTTTCTATTACCAAATCTCTGTTTGGAAACATAGAGAAATAATGGTAATTTAATAGCCCAATCAAGTCCCCACACTGCAATAAAGCCAAAAATAAATTATTTTACAATTATTATTATTTGATGAACCCTGAGAGTTCCCTAGGACTTCTGGAAATTGTAGTGTGCACAGCTGTTTTAGAAATGTACT